AAGGGGAAGAGAAGAGCGACAAGTGGAAACCTTATTTGAACAAATAATAAAGGAGAACTTCCCCATTCTGGCAAAGGCAATAGACTTCCAGGAAATCCAGGAAACTCAGAGAGTCCCAAAGAAGTTGGACCCAAGAAGGAACACACCAAGGCACATCATCATTACATTAGCCAAGATGAAAATGAAGGAGAGAATCCTAGAAGCAGCAAGAGCTAAGGGGACTGTCACCTACAAAGGAGTTCCCATCAGACTGTGAGCTGATTTCTCAAAAGAGACCTTACAGGCAAGAAGGGGCTGGAAAGGAGTATTCCAAGTCATGAAATCCAAAGAACTACACCCAAGATTGATCTATCCAGCAAAGCTTTCATTTAGAATTGAAGGGCAGATAAAGTGCTCCTAAGATAAGACCAAATTCAAGGAGTTCATCATCACCAAGCCCTTATTATATGAAATGTTAAAGGGACTTAGAAAAAGAAGATAAAAAATATGAACAGTGAAAGGAGCAAACTCACAGCTATCAACAACCACACCTAAAACAAAAACAAATTAAGAGGACAGCTAGATCAGGAGTGAACCATAGAAATGGAGATCACGTGGAGGGTTAGCAATGGGAGAAGGAGAAGGGGGGAGAAGGTAGAGAAAATAAGTAGCATAGACAGTAGATAGAAAATAGGGAGAGGGCAAGAACAGTAGGGGAAATATAGAATCTAAAGAACTTGAGACACGTGGTCATAAACTAAAGGGGGGAGGGGGTGTACAGGGTGGAAGGGAATGAAGGGAAATAGAACTGTAATGGCGTAATCAATAAAATACATTTAAAAAAATAAATTAATTAAAATAAAAAAAGAAAAAAAAAACACCAGCTAAGTATCATGTCTAGGCTGTGGTGAGTGACTCACTCACTACAGGTATTTTTAAAAAAGGATTTAAAGATGGCATCAGTTTTCACTCTGTGAATGGGTGTTGGTATCAGCAATAATAGAAATAGAACAGTCTCCAGGAGATGCCTACTAGGTAAATGATGGTGATTAGTTGGGTCTTAAACCACCCAACCTCTGGGTAAATGGCCGTTGCAAGAAGAAAAGCAATAGGCATTCCAGACCGGACAATGAGGCCTGCTTTAAAAGTAAACAAAACCAAAAATATAGCAAAAAATCTTAGTCATTTATGTTTTGAATAAATGATCATATATGTTAATAATCGAAGAGCTACATGAGGGTACACACTTTGCTCTTCACCCATTTATTAAACTCCCAGGTGAGGGGCATGTTTTAATTAAACTTCTTTCCCTGAGTTGGAACAATTCTGTACTTGCATCAAGAGATGTAGGTCAACAAGAGAGTTACTGGGTAGCACACTGGCAGGGAGACAGAGGATGGGCACTCTGAGAAAGAACAACAGACAGATGGACATGCTGGAAAACTCTCAGTGGTACTTATTACACTCTTTCCTCCTCCCAGTAGGAAGGGTATGAGGCATTCTTCCTTCTATTTTGATCTATTATGTGTCAGCCATTTTATATATCCTGTCATTCTACTATCAACCAACCCCTAAAGTTGGGTTCATTACCCCACTTTATATCTGAGGACACTGAGGCTCCAGTCAGTTCGTAATTTTCTAATGGTCATGCCAATAAGTGGCAGGGGTGGAATCAGATGTGAATTACAATTGTGGGACTCTAAAGCTTGTATTCTTTCCATTCTAGTGCATGATCAGAGAGACAGTAGGTTCTTCAAGTCAGGTTATGGGAAGATTTAGTGAGTGGGAAAACAGAAAAAGCCAAAACAGTTTGAAAAAAGTTTTTTATATATTTAAAAATAAAAATGTGTTTTGGAGATCAAAGCCTTGTCCAAGGTGTCACTGGCAAATGTTTTCCCAAATGGTTGGTTTCCTTTTCACTTCAATGATGGTTTCTTTAGCTGTGGAGAGCTTTTTAATTTGATGTAGTCACTTTTGTTTCCTTTTTTTTCCTTAATATCCCTTGCCCTAGGGGACATATAGGTAAAAATACTACTGCATGTGATATCTGAAATTTTTCTGTCTATGTTCTCCTTTAGGACTTTTATGGTGTCATGATTTACATTTAAGTCTTTTATCCATCTTGAGTTTATTTTGGTATATGGTGTAAGTCGGTGGTCTAATTTCATCTTTTTGCACATGCAACTGTCCAGATCTCCCAACATCATTTATTGAAGAGGCTATTTTCACTCCACTCTATGCTAATGCCCACTTTGTTGAATATTAATTGACCATAGAGACTTGGGTTTATTTCTGTGTCTGTTCTTTTTTTTTTTTTAAAAAAGATTTTCTTTAGCAGGGAAGGAAAGGAGAGAGGGAAAGAAATATCAATGTATGGTTGCTTCTCGTGTGTCCCCTGCTGAGAACTGGCCTGCAACCCAGATATGTGCCAAGACTGGTTATTGAACTGCAATTCTCTGGTTCGGAGGCCTGCGCTCAATCCACTGAGCTACACCAGCCAGGGCTATGTGTCTGTTCTTAATATAGTCAGTACCAGACTGTTTTGATTGTAGTGGCCTTGTAATATAGTTTGATAACTGGTACTATGATCCCTCCTACTTTGTTCTTTTTTCTCAAAATTACTGAGGCTCTTTAGGGTCATTTATAGTTCCATATAAATTTTCAAAGTATTTGCAAAGATTTGATCTTATAAATACATAAAAAACTCACATGACTCTATACCAGGAAGACAAGACAACCCATTTAAAAAAATGGGCACAGGTTCTGAACAGACACTTCTCCAAGGAGGACATACAGAGTGCCCAGAGGCAGATGAAAGGATGTTCAATATCACTAGCCATCAGAGAGATGCAAATTAAAACCACAACGAGATACCATTTCACACCAGTTAAAATGGCCACCATAAACAAACAAACAACAAATGCTGGCAAGGCTGTGGAGAGAAGGGAACCTTAGTACACTGTTGGTGGGAATGCAGACTGGTCAGCCACTGTGGAAAACAGTATGGAATTTCCTCAGGAAACTAAAAATAGAACTGCCTTTTGATCCAGCAATTCCACTACTGGGATTATACCCTAAGAATCCTGGAACACAATTCAAAAGAACCTCCCAATGTTCATTAGCAGCATTATTTACAGTAGCCAAGGGCTGGAAACAGCCTAGGTGCCCATCATTAATGAGTGGATCAAAAAATTGTGGTACATTTACACACGGAATTATACACAGCAGAAAGAATGAAGGAACTCCTACCCTTCACAACAGCATGGATGAAACTGGAGAGCATTATGCTAAGTGAAATAAGCCAAGCAATAAAAGACAAATATCATATGATCTCACTTATAAGTAGAATGTAATCAATAAAGTAAACAAATAAGCAGAAAAGAAACAGAGACACTGAAATGAACAAACTGACAGTGACCAGAGGGGAGAGTGGCAAGGGTTAAAAGGGAAAGAATGGGAAGGATTAAGTCAAAGAACATGTATAAAGGACCCGTAGACAAGGACAATGGTCGGATTGTCTTTGGGAGCAGATGGTTGAAAGGGGAAAGCAATGGGGGTAGAAGTGGGATGACTGTAATTGAACAACAATAAAAAATAAAAATGTAAAATATAGCTTCTGTAGACTTATCACCAAAAAACCCCACTTATGGTATCTACAGCGTGTTTGAATGACCTGTCAGTACCATCTACTCATAAGGAGTTGGGAAACTTTGGGGAATGCCCACTCAGGAGCTGAAATCAGGTTATGAAGGAGGACCGACCAATCGCTAAAGTAAGAACAAGAACCATAACATAAACTTATTTTTCTTTCAGGTGATTCCCAAAGAACAAAGCAAACATTATCCGCACCAGAGCCCAAGAAGTCCATGTATTTATTATTCACATTTTATAAGCGAGGAAATAGCCTGTGAGCCAACAGCACACAGCTCAGCCCTGTGCTCAGTCTATGCAAATACTGTTGACATTCACTTGCCAGGAACCAAGTGGTAGAAAAGCATGTGATGCAGAGATGTCGGGGTATTTCACTAGTCTTATGGCTTTTTTGAAGACAGAATTAATTTCCTGCGCATTTAGTGAAGAATTTGAGATTATGAAATTACTGAGTAAGCAAAGAGAACTCCCTCTTCATTCCCTGGCCCCTACAAGGCACAAAACTTGAATTAATATCCACAATGGAGGGTCAATTAACTTTAGAACAGGCCCTCAGCACTGGCTTTCAGTGTATTTGCACAACTGATTCCACCACAAACCCCCAGGTCGGCTGCGTATGGTCCACACACTCGCCCTGCACTTGAGATGATAATCTTGGGAGAAAAAAAAAAAAAAAGAATTCAAGGCCCAGGGTAAAGAGGCCACACCCTGCGTTGACGAGACTAAGGTTGGGGTGTAAATAAGGTGGGACCGCCTTAGGGGCGTCGCCAGTCAGCAGAGATCTGGGCCAGACTGGCCTGATACCAGAGCAGCTAAGAAACGCAGGGGCCAAAGCTGAGGAAGGGGTTTAACACGGGCCGCCTGGACTGGGATGTGAGCTCAGGAGAATGGATAGGAAGAGTGACCCCTGAGCAATGGGAGGTCAGGGCCCGCCGTGCGCTGTTGCAGTGCTTCCTGGAAACAGAAACTATAACTCCCACTGAGTCGTGCAGGATGTGCCAGTCTGTCCAAGTTTCTGGTCCTGTTTAAGTTCTGATTCAGGTCATTGTTAGCAAAAAGCACAGTATATCCTCAGCGACAGGCTCTCTTGTGAGAATAAGCCTCAGTTGACTAAGCGTTCAGCCAGAGTACAAGGGCCCCAAGCCCAGACGTCCTAGACCCAGAGCCTACAGAGACAACCACGACGCCCCGTGCTGGGTGCCCGGCCCGGCCACACTGGATGTTCAATATGTTGTGGGCAGCGCAGCCGGGAACGCGAGGCAGAGACCCGGGGAAACGCCCGCCACGGGGACAGTGCGTGGTGACCAGACGCGGGGAGGAGCCGGGCTTCCAGGCTGCCGCAGTTTTCGCGGTGGTGAGGAAGGGCCTACCTGTCTAGCAGAGGGGTGTGGATGTGCAGGTGCTTCACGGCCACCTGCACACGCCAGTCCGCGTGGCGCGCGGACGACACGGTGCCGGACGCGCCGCGGCTGAGGAAGCGCAAGTCCGCGAGCTTTTGGGAGGGAACGGCGGGCAGCGTGCTGCAGATGGGTTCCACGCTCATGGTTCCGGGCCGTGCTGCCGCTGCTTCTGGCTTCTGTACCGTCCTGCAACCGGCTGGAACCCCTGCTGCCGGATGATACTAAGTCGCCAGGGTGCCCATGCCCACACCGCGCAGCCCAACGCTTTCCGGGAAATCAGCGGAGAGCGGTCAGTACGCCAGACGGCGGCTCCGGCTCAAAAGCACACCCCGCCCGCAGCCACCGGCTCCTCCTCTTATCCCGCATACGTCACGCCCTCCACCCCGCCCTACCCCTCCCCCAACACAGGAAGCTCCCTCCCCCTCCTCCCCAACCCTGCGACTTCGCCCACGTCCTCGGGCTCCTCCCCTCACCCTGCCCGCATCCCAGCCTTACCCGCCGGATCCCACCCCGCCCCACCCCGCCCCTCTCTGGTGGCTCATCCCACTCCCACCCCCACCTGGCCCCGCCCCCTATCGTTAGCTCTTCGCTGCACACCTCCACCTTGCAGAACTGAGGCTCGAGGCTGCTGACTCGGTAACTCCTGAGGGCTGTGAAGAAGCTGGACGCCCATTTGGTCCCCGGGCCTGCGTTTGGGGACGCGCTGTCGTCCGCTCGCCGGTTTGTCAGCCCGCTCGCCCTAGGCACAGTCCCCTCAGCACAGCTCTCTGACCTGGACCGGAGGTCGTTTTCCGCAGTGACCCGGCCTCACACTTGAAGAAGCGTAGCGAGCCAGGTAAGGCTGCGGGCGCCGGGTTTGCTGGGTCGGGTAGGGCAACTAGTGTCAGACACGCATTCCAAAGCCCTCAGCCTTCGGACCTAGCTAAGACCCGGACCAAGGGCGCCTTAGCGGCAGAACGCAAGTCGGCCGTTGGCACTTCGGTACGTGTACGAGGGCAGCAGCGTCCCACTCTCAGTGGGAGGCTGTGCTTCACACATGGTTCACCCCTCTATGCTTTGTCTTTACTGAGCGCTTGACTAGAGTGTTGTCCAAACTCAATCATTCCTTCTGTCAGTTAGTCATTCTTCACTTACTCATTCACTCATGCATTCACTCATTCATTCATTCATTCATTCACTCACTTATTAATTAATTTATTAATTCGCTTATTCATTCACCCACTCACCCCCTCACTCATTCACTCTCCCACTTATTCACTCGGTCACTCCCCACTCATTCATTCACTCACTCTTATACACTCTCATTCACCCACTCATTCATATACTCGCTCATATATTCATTCACTCATTCACTAACTCATATATTTACTCACACATTCATTGATGCATTCACTTACTCATGCATTTATTTATGCATTCATTCATTTGCTCACTTGTTCTCTCATTCATTTTTTTCTCACATATTCTTTCGTTATTCACTCATTCACTCATTAACCTCATGAGGTAACAAAGACTTCCAGAACAGGAAAACAGAAAACGAGTGAGAGGAAATGACACCACAATAACTGAAGCACTCTTCCTTGCCTGAAGCACAGGGGTCTCCACATTGAGAGGAACCATGTGAGGCTTGTAATTAGGAAGCCCAGAACACTAGGAATACAGAAGATTTCAAGACTTTTCAGATAGGAATTGGAAGGCCACTGGATTTCTCGGCATTAACACTTTTATGCTAAAGCACAGTGGTGTGAAATGACTTTAAAATTCTGGAAGAGAGTAACTTTAACCTAAAAGTCTGTAGTTAGTCAAACCAACCGTCAAGTACAAGGGCAAAATAAAAACATTTTCACATACACAAGGAGGCAAATATTTACTTTCTACCCATCCACCTTTTTAGAAAAAGAAAGCTGTTAGATGATTTGCTCCAATAAACATGGAATAAGTCAAGAAAGAGAAAGACATGCTATCCAAAAAATAGGACCTGGGTGGACAATGTGAGGGGAAACCGAAGTGTTGGGAAGGGCCCTGCCTTGTTTCAGGAGCTGTAATCACCCCATGGCTAAGGCTGAGTGAGTGACCTTTGGACCATAAGCCATTAAGGAGACAAAGCTTATCTCCCTGGCAGGAGTGCGGCTTCTGCTCCTTTTTCCATAACTGGCCTCCAGTGCTTGGTTGGTTAGCTAATGACCAGTAAAATTCCTCAAGGAAGGATTGACCTAAAACAGGCATGATCACGTGGAGGCCCCAGGGAAGGACTTGGGGGGCCTATAAAGAAAGGGGGTGATGGACCCTTGCCTGTTGAGTTTGATGAAGCCTGACTCCCCTGAGTCCGCTAGAAGTCTCCAAAAATTCCTTGGCTATTTGCCTACTCTGCCTGACTTAAGCCTGAAACAATGACAGAGGGTGGTGCAGCCCTGTGCTGGGAAGGTCCGGTGATTAGGCCTGAGAAAGGATATGTAAAATTTTGTGAAGCTTGCTTTGCTAAGAATGCTCTTAGTTAAATGATAAAGGTCTGAGCAGAAAATGAGTTTGTTTTCCCAAAGTTTTGTAGCCTTTTAGCTGATAGACCCTGACTCAGAAGAAGCCCTAATAGTTCTTTGTATGCTATCTAGTGTTTGATCCTTACTGCCTGACAGTGATTAGTGAGCTGTACTTGTAGTCCTGCCCAAATTAAACCCAATAAAAGCCTGTCTAGGCAAGGGTCAGTGTGCTCTCCCCTTGAGAGAGTGGCCAGGCTGTTCTGAGGCTCTTCTTCCTCCTTGAGGGAGTAGCCATGCTGTCCCTCTTCCTCCATAGGACTTAGTAGTCTATGTGAATTTGTCTTGATTTTCCATCCACAACACCGCGGGCACTGAAGGCCAGTGTCTGCATCACCGAAGGATGGAAGAACAGTCTTCAATTTATCTACCACAACCTCAAATCTTTACCTTTCATAATAGTTTTCATCATTATACAGTTTTTAAAAAATAGTCGTGGCTGGTGTAGCTCAGTGGATTGAGCGCGGGCCTGCGAACCAAAGTGTTGCTGGTTTGATTCCCAGTCAGGGTACAGGTCTGTGTTGCAGGCCCCGCAAGAGGCAATCACACACTGATGTTTCTCTCCTGCTTTCTTCTTCCCTTCCCCTCTCTCTATAAATAAATAAATAAAATATTTATAGAAATATGTTATTAATCATATATAGTTTAATTAATTCCAATAATTAATTGGTTGACAACAAAAAGCGTAATGAATACTTAAGCTGAAGTACATCAACTAAATGAGAAAAAAAGAGTAATTATGCAAATCAAGCTAAAATCAATTCACCTGTTACAAATCCTTTAAAATCATGTGCTATTTTAGGAAATAATAGCTTGGAATCTCTCATCTCTTTAAATAGAAACAAGACAGAAAAATTGAAAAATGAACCACATAAAAAGTAGAAGTCCAAGAATTTCAAACATCTCATAGTTTTTAAAAAATTTTTAGTTGAACAGCATCTAGTAAGTTTTAAAAACAAATTCTGCAGAAATCTCTATAATTGCATAATAATGAATGTTTCCCATGGGAAAACAAACATTTGGGTATATTTGGTGTCATTTCCCCAAAAAGTAATCTTAAAAATACTTGGTATGTTTGATGACATGGAGTCTATTGTTATGAAGAGTCAGAGAAATACAATTTTTGTGATTAGCACAATAATGTTTCTCACTTGTGTCCAGTTCTAGATTAAACATGATGTCATTTTAAAATTGATTGATAAATGAATTTCTGATAAATAAACTAAATTCGCCACATATCAATTAGAAAAAGTAAATAGTCGCACTAGAACTATTAGTGAAGATAATATTAAATCAAGCTTTTACTATAAAAAAGATAATATTAATATCAAGATGGAGAATACTTTTCTCAACATTTTTCAATTTGAAGTTGCATCTTTGTCCTTTAGGCTGGAAGATAGTATTTACCTTTTAAGCAGATTTTAAAGTTTTTCTCTATCTGATTTATTATATTTTTCATGGGCTTTTTTTTTTTAGCATTTTTAAAATTGTTGTTTAAGTACAGTTGTCTCCATTTTTCTGCCACCACTATCCACCAACCCACTCTAAATCCTTCTTACCTTTGGCTTTGTCTATAGATCCTTTATACATGTTCCTTGACAACCTTTCCCCTTCTTCCCCTGCTATCTCCTTCTGCTCTCCCCTCTGGGTACTGTAAGATTGTTCTATATTTCAATATCTTTGGTTATATTTTGCTTGCTTGTTTGTTTTGTTGATTAGATTCCACTTACAGGTGTGGTATTTGTCTTTCACCACCTGGTTTATTTCACTTAGCATAATGCTCTTCAGTTTCGTCTGTGCTGTAGTGAAGGGTAGGAGTTTTTTCATTCTTTCTGCTGTGTGTATTCTATTGTGTAGATGTATCACAATTTTTTTAAAAATATTTTTTAAAATTTTATTTAGTTATTTTTCAAGTACAGTTTTTTGTCCACTTTTCCCATCCCAGCCTCCCCCCCCCCCCCCCCCCGGCTCCCCACCTCCACCCCATCTCCACCCCCCCCTTAGTTCTCGTCCCTGTGTCCTTCCTATTTGTTCCTCCAAATCCCTCCCCCTTTTTCCCCTTAACTTCCCCTCCTTCTCCCCTCTGGTCACTATCCCCTTGCTCTCTATTTCAGTGTCTTTGTTTTTTTTTTTTTTTCTGCTTGCTTGTTTGTTTTGTTGTTTAGCTTCCTTTTAAAGGTGAGATCATATGGTCTTTGTCTTTCAGCACCTGGCCTATTTCACTCAGCATAATGCTTTCCAGTTCCATCCATGTTGTTGCAAATGGTAATAGCTCCTTCTTTCTCTCTGCAGCATAGAATTCCATTGTGTATATGTACCACAATTTTTTGATCCATTCATTTACTGATGGGCACCTAGGTTGCTTCCAACACTTGGCTATTGTAAATTGTGCTCCTATGAACATTGTGGTGCATAGGTTCTTTGATATTGATGTTTTAGGATTCTTAGGATATAATCCCAGCAGTGGAATTGCTGGGTCAAAAGGCAGGTCGATTTTTATTTTTCTGAGAAAATTCCATACTGTTTTCCATAATGGTTGTACCAGTCTGCACTCCCACCAACAGTGAACTAAGGACCCCTTTTCCCCACACCCTCTCCAACATTTGTTGTTTGTTGCTTTGTTTATGATAGCCATCCTGACTGGTGTAAAGTGGTATCTCATTGTGGTTTTAATTTGCATCTCTCTGATAGCTAACGATATTGAGCATCTCTTCATGTGTCTCTGAATGTTCTGTATGTCCTCCTTGGAGAAGTGTTTGCTCAAGTCCTTTTCCCATTTTTTAATTGGGTTGGGTGTCTTCTTAGAGTGGAGTCGTGTAAGTTCTTTGTATATTTTGGAGATTAAACCTTTGTCTGAGGTATCATTGGCAAATATGTTTTCCCATACAGTTGGTTGTCTTGCTAATTTAATACTGTTTTCTTTAGCCATGCAGAAGCTTTTTATTTTGATGAGATCCCATTTGTTTATTCTTTCCTTTACATTCCTTACTCTAGGGGACATATCAGTAAAGAAGTTGCTGCGTGAAATATCTGAGATTTTCTTGCCAATGTTCTCCTCTAGGACTTTAATGGTGTTATGACTTACATTTAAGTCTTTTATCCACCTTGAATTTATTTTGGTGTATGGTGTAAGTCTGTGCTCCAGTTTCATTTTTTTGCATGTAGCTGTCCAGTTCTCCCAACACCATTTGTTGAAGAGGCTATCTTTACTCCATTTTATGTTACTGCCCCCTTTGTCGAATATTAATTGACTGTAGAGAGTTGGGTTGATTTCTGGGCTCTCTGTTCCATTGGTCTATGT